CCCCAGCCTCCCTCTCTCTCTTCCCCTTTCCTTTTTTCCTTTCTTTCATCTTTGTTTCCTTTTGCCACACTGGGGACTGCTCATGATACCATGAAGCTAAAGCCCCATCCTTCTTTCCCTTTTTCCAAATTGGTTGCCTCTATTGTTGAGTTGTGTTCTTTTGACACATTCCCCATACGAGGACTTTATCAGATACATGATTTGCTAAAATTTTCTTTCTGCGGCTCTCTCTTCATTTTTTGATGTTGTCCTTTGAAGCACAGCTATTTCAATTTTGATGATATACAATTTATCTGTTTTGCTTTTTGGGTTGCTTTTGATGTAATATTTAGGAAAATATCCCCCAAAGCAAGATCCTTGAAGCTAGTGACTTGTACGAGTTTTATAATTCATCTCTTTCATCTAGGTCTTTGATCAAATGTGAGTTTTTGTATATGGTGATAGAGCTCCAATTCATTCTGTTTCATGTAAATATCTAGGGTCCTAATACCATTTGTGAAAATATTTTCCCTTATGAAAAATCAGTTGACTATCTATGAATATGTTTGCTACTGGACTCTGAATTCTATTCCATTATCTTCGTGTTTATCCTTATGCCGGGATCACATGGTGTAACCTTGTAAACTTTAAAACCAGGGACTGTGAGTTCTCCAATTTAGTTCTTATTTTTCAAGATCTTTTTGGTTTTACTCTATTTTTGACATTTCTATATGAATTCTAGGTTCACCTTATCAATTTTTGGGAAAAAGAGGTTAGAATTTTGATGGGAATTGCATGAATCTGTGGATCATTTGTGGGAGTGTTGCTGTCTTCACATTATTCCATTTTCTAATCTATGCATACAGAATATTCATTCAGGCTTTTTTAAAGTTTTCTTTCACTATGATAGCTTGAAAACTTTTTTTGAGTACATAAATCTTGCACTTCTTTAATTATATTTATTCCTAAGTATTTCATTGTTCTATTTTTAAAATATTTTAAATTAAGTTATAGTATGTAGGTGATGAATACAAATGCATACATTTAGGTATTCTGTATTTTTCTTTTTTTTTTCTTGTCTTTTTGAGGCAGGGTCTGGCTATGCAGTCAGGCTGGCCTTGAGCTCACTTTGTATCCCAGGCTGGTCTCGAACTTGCAACAATCCTCCTGCCTCAGCCTCCCGAGTGCTGGGATTACAGGTGTGCACCACACCTGGCCTCCGTGTGATGTTTTAATACATTCTTTTGAGGACCCTCTATACTGTTTTCCACAATTTCTGTACTAACTTACACTCCCACCAAGAATGTACCAAGTTCCCCTTTTCTCCACATCCTTCACCAAGTCTCACCTTCTGCCTTTTCCATAACTGCCATTGTGTGAGGTGCTATCTTATCATGGCTTTAGTTTGCATTTCTCTGATGATTAACGATGTTTGACAGTTTTTTCATAGGCCTCTTGGCTATTTATATGCCTTCTTTTAGAAAACATCTCCTCAAGGTATTTGCCCATTTTTAAATTGGGCTATTTGTTTTCTTGCTCTTGAGCTTGAGTTCCTCATATATTTTGACTATGAATCCCTGATCATTATTAATTATGATCTGGAAATATTTTCTGCTCTTCTGTATGTTTTCTCTTTGTTCTGTTGCCACGCAGGAGCTTTCCAATTTGATGCAATCTCCCTTGTCGATATTTGCTTTTGTTGCCTGTGTATTTATTCTTTTTGATGTCATTACAAATAGAATTGGGTTGTTTTATTTTCAGGTTGTTCTTTGCTAATGTACCAACATGGTTCAGAGTTCTGTATATAGAGAGTATATTCTGCTGAAACGTTTCTCAGTGAGCAATTTTTTTTTTTTACTTTTTAGCAGACGTGCTTGTTTTGTTTTTGATCTTAAGGGGAAAACGTTTACTCTTTCACCATGAACTATGATATTAGCTGTGAGGTAATTGTAGATGCCCTTTGTTAGGCTGCAGAGAGTCACTTGTATTTCTAGTTTTGTGGTTTCTTTTTACCATGAAAAAGTAATGGCTTTTGTTACGTGCTTTTCTTCACCTAAAAAAAATAATCATGTGGATGCTTCCATTTATTCTGTTAATACAGTTTATTATACTGATTAATTTCTACATGTTGACCCAACTTTGCATTCCCAGAATAAATCCCAGTTGTTCGTGGTGTATAATCTTTCTCCCATTATTTCTTGAGGCCAGAGTTTACTTTTACCTCTTTGTATCATCCAAAGCACTCATAGAATGCTATAGTTGGATCAAGAATTAGTAGCTGAGACATGTGATCATCATTATTACTGTCATCATAAATATTAACATGATCACAAGGTGGTGAAAATCTGAATTGGGATGACATATTCCAAAGTGAAACATCATTTTAACCAATAATGTACACGACTCTATTGGCTATATGAAATTATTTTATTTCTCATATGAGACATATATTTTGAATAATCCATGTATTCCTACTCAATCTGTACATTCCTGGAAGATGTTTTGCTTGGTTAAGATGCTCTAGTCCTTATTTTTAAATAAAACTTCTAGTAAGTAAATACATACCTGCAGAAAATACAGTTCTGGACTTATGTGAGTGGACTTACCATTTGATTTAATGATGGTCTGAAAAGATGTTTATCCAATTACTCTGTTTTTCACTTTCAGTGCAGTTTTCAGTACATAAGCTATTCAACGTGTCATTCTAAAGTGGGATTTGTAGAAGATTTTGCCCAAATGGAGGCCAGTTCAAGTGTTCTAAGTACACTTAAGGTACATTATGCTAAGCTATTGTGTTTAGGAGGTTAGGTGTATCAGATGCATCTTGAACCTTATATTTTATTTATTTATTTATTTATTTATTTATTTATTTATTTATTTTGTACTGGGGATCGAACTCATGACCTTGCACTTGCCAGGCAGGTGCTTATGCCACTGTGCTATATCCCCAGCTCCCAAGGACCTCATATTTTCAATTTATGTTTATTGGGCCATAATCCTATCAGAAGCCAAGCAGATCTGTATATGTACTTAAGTCTCCGGGGTAAAGAATTTTCAAGAGTAAAACACCCATGTAGAAGATGCAAAGCATCACAGCACCTAAGGTGCCCTCTTGTGTCCTACCTTTGTTAATGCCCTCTATGACCCAACAGGGATAACTATTATCCTAACTCCTAACACCACAGGTTAGTTTTAAAACTTGAAAGGAATAATGAAAGGAATGATAGGCCCATTCAACTCAATACTGTTCATATCTGTGAGATTCATCATGTTGCATGCAGTTGTTGGATGTCCATTTTCTTTGGTTCATAATGTCACGTTATATGAACATGTCATGATCGACTAACCCATTGCAATAGTAATGGGCACTTGAGGAGCTCTGGTTTAGGAATATGAACAGTGTTGTCGCGAGTATTCTTTTACATGTATCTTGGTGAATATGATTCTCTTCTGTTGAATATATATCTAGGGTGGAATTGCCATTCCTAGGATTACTAGGATTTTTTTTCCTAGGATTTTTTTCTACTCATTGTATGGAGACAACTACATTTTTATTTATTTTTTATTTATTTATTTTTTTTTCAGTATCGGGAATCGAACTCATGACCTTGCACTTGCCAGGCAGGCACTGTGCTGCTGAGCTAAATCCCCAGCCCTACATTTTAAAAATGATTACTTCTTCTTCTCATTCCAGGAACATGCAATTTTTAAAATAAATTAGCAAGTGATGTCATGCTTTATCTTGGAGTTGTCATTAGCAATACTGTCGAGTACAATATCCACTAGCCATATAAAGTTATTAAACACCTGAAATGTGCTGAAAATGTAAATTACACAATAGATTTCCAAGATTTATTTTTTCTCTTTTTTTTTTTTTTTTTGAGACAGAGTCTCTATGCAGTTCAGGCTGGACTTGAACTCACTTTGTAGCTCAGGCTGGTCTCAAACTTGCAACAATCCTCCTGCCTCAGCCTCCTGAGTGCTGGGATTAAAGGCGTGGGCCACCACGCCCGGCTGATTTTCAAAATTTAAAATGAAGAATGTATATGATCTCATTAATAATTTAAAAATATTCACGACAGGTTGAAGTGACAGGATTTTGGATATGGGTTAAATAAAATTAATTTCAAAAAATTGAAATTAATTTTGTCTGTTTCTTTTTAATGTGGCTACTAAAAAATTTTACCTTACATATTTAAAATTATACAATTAATTTCTACTGGTCAGTGCTGATCTATAGTATGTAATTAAACAGATGGATAAAGATTTAAAAATATTTTATATATACATTACTAGAAGATCTTCTTAATACAAGTAGATCATGGTTTAGGCTACTTGTACATTTCAGGATGGTCCATTGCTGCTGGCTCATTCTTTCTGTTTAATACACATTTCTTAACTATTTGATAAACTTCGTTATTTGCTTTTTAGGTTAAAAAATAGTGACCACACTGTCAGCATTGTACATGATAATGTTCCTAAGAGAACAAGAAAAGATAACAAGAAAAGATAAAAAGTCTGAACAGAAACTCAAAGAGTAGGAACTGGGTATGAAAAATATTACTTGGTAACATTTTAATGATTTATTTGATCAAAGAAAAACTTCCTTGAATTATAATTCCTTATACTATAGATTATATGAAGTTTGTTATGCTTTGTGGAGCGTATGTATAGATGATATATTTTAAAAGAGTAAATTCATTTTTTTTAAATGAACAGGGACTTTTGCTTAGGTAATATATTTCATTTTGCTGGCAGAGCACTGGGAGACTTAGTCATAACAGAAGTGACACATTACAGTGTGTCATTCGCTGGCTCGTGCATGACTGACAAATTGTGATCCTTGACTCTAGCAGAAAGCTAGGCTTTGCTTAGGGAGTTGTAAATATAGTATTATTCTTAAATTACCGTTTTTCCATTGTGTAGATTCTGAAAGACATGGTACAGATAAAGTCTAACCCCTATTTTTGGAGGGAAAAATAGGTCTCAGGATCTTAGAATCACCTTAAACTTCATCTGACATGAGAGACTTGGCCGACTCCCAATTGCGGAAGGTGACAGAACAGAAGCATTCAGAATCACACCCACGTGACAGGTGTTGGCTCTAAAAGGGTAACCGGATCAGCTTGGGAAGTGGACGGATCCCGTGCAGCCCTGGAGACCTGGACACTCACACACCACTGGGAAGCAGGCCTTTGCTGCCCTGTCCGTCACCGTCCCAGCCGCTCTTAGCTTCTGCTTCTGCCTCTTGGCCTGCTCAGACCTTGTACTTCTGCCTGATTCCTCCCTCACTGGAAGCCCATTTTGGCCCCTTACCTCTTGCCCTTTCTCAGCGTCAACCTTTCTACCAGATGGCTCTTTCTTTCTGTCCCCCTGGCTTTCATTTTCCGAGGGAGACTTTGATTGGCTTACTAATTATCAGGGTTTTGTTTGTTTGCTTGTTTGTTTTTTTGAGACCGGGTCTCGCTATGCAGTGCAGGTTGGCCTTGAACTCACTGTGTAGTCCAGGCTGGCCTCGAACTCGCAACGGTCCCCCTGCCTCAGCCTCCTAAGTGCTGGGATTACAGGCGTGAGCCACCACACCTGGCTGTCAGTTTCATCCGACAGTTATGACAGTTATCGGATAATTGCTAATCATCACCGTGCGAGTTCAGAAATGCTGGTTCGAGGTCACTTCGACAGCCACTTCATGGATGGCACGCAGCCGGGTCACGCAGTCACTCTTAATCCGGCTCCCGGGGCTGTGGAGAGGTCTTTTGGGGGGTAATTATTTGGTCAATCTACGCTCTAGGAATAGCTGGGTCGGCTCTTCTCCGCAAAACTCGGTGCAGAAATCACTCTCCGCCCCCGCGACTTTTAAAAAAGGGAGTATGAATAAATTAATTTTAGATCCAGGAAATAATGAAAGGATAAAACCTGCACTGACCCAGGATCCACAGCTAGCTTTGTTCCTGCAGTGGAACAAGCGGGACTTCAAGAACGCATTCTGTTCTGCAGATCAGACCATGCCGTGTGGGTCAGGAGACTTTAGGATTTAGCGCGTTGGGGGCACTGGTTCCCGTTTCGGGGAGAGAAAGCTTAGCAGGAAGTCACCGACCAGGATCGCTGCAGCGGGGTGTGGGAGGGCTCCGAGGCGCAGGAAAGGCGTCGGTTACCGAGGCTCAGGGTCCGCATTCCTAGAAGCCGGGCGCTGGGCACCTGTCTGGCGGCTGCCCGCGGCCGGCGTCTCCTCCCGGCAGGCGGGTCCCGGGAGAGGGGGCGGCCGCTCTCCCGAGCGCTGAAACTCTTACTTTCCCCCCACTTCGCTCCTCCTCCCCTTCCTCCTCCTCCTCCGCCGCCGCAGCCTTTATCTCTGCCTCGGCCACTTCCTTCTCCAGCCTTTGCCTCCCCAGTGCGCCGCGGACGCCCGGGTCCGGACCACGCGGCCCCAGTTCTCCACGGGACGGGAACGCGCGGCCGAGAGGTGCGCCCCGGGGCCAGGGAGGAAGGGCGGGAG